ACACACACACACACACACACACACACACACACACACACACACACACCTTCCGCGGTTGCTAAGGGGCGGCGGTGGGCAAGTCGGAGGCTGGTAGAGAAAAAACACCTAGGCCTCCCTGCACCTGCTTCCGGTCGGATGACCTGCGGCGAAATTGCGAAGTTGGGAGGCGAGGGCCGGGCTGAGTTGTGGCTCTGGAGCCAGGACGCCTCTGGGCGGAGGAAGTAGCTAAGGGATAGGAGCCGGCGGGGTCCTCCCTGCTGGGGTTGCAGAGGGCAGGGGTGCCAGCCCGCCGGGACCTCCTGCTAGCCCCACGAAGAAGTGAGCCAGTCCCCAAGAAGGGCTCTGCAAAGGGAGTGCGAGGGGCATCTATCCGGAGCAAAGAGGGGGACAGCCTGTGCAGAGTGGAAAGGGTACCCAGGCGCTGGAAAAAGCTTTGGGTTCGTGGCTGGAAGCCTCTCCTTTGAAAAGGACTGCTGTTTAATTCTCCCTGATTGGTCTTAATGCAAACTGTCCAGCGATTAAGATACACAGGATGAACCTTTTTTTTTTTTTTTTTGGTCTTTTTGAGACGGTCTCCCTGTAGCCCCAGCTGTCCTGGAACTCACTGTGTAGACCAGGCTGGCCTTGAACTCACAGAGATCCGCCTGCCTCCGTCTCCCGAGCGGTGGGATTAAAGGCCTGCTCCACCACGCCCGGCACAAGGTGAACTTTTAAAAAGATTTTATTTAGAAGTTACAGAATCACCGGAAGTTAAAAAGACGTTACCGAATAGCCATAAGGACCCCCCCCTACCCACCTTGCTGCTGTAACCAAGTCTTACTGTAAGAAACAGTAGATGTTAGTCTGTTCTTTCAAAGTCTAAAACTTGAAACTTGGTTTAGGCCAAGGAATTCTAATCTTTTAATCACACCACACCCTGTAACCGTTTTGCTTAAGGAAAGGTCCAGCTACTTCTGAACCTCATGGCCTGGAGCTGTGGAGCTCTTCTCCATGCCATTCTTCAAATTAGCCAACAGGGAAAGACTGTGAGGTTACACCCCAGCCAACCTGGAAGGATACCCCCCCACCCGGACAGAGCACGTATGCAAATACAGCATTTTATCACATGCATAGGTTCTCATAAGAGGACTTAAGAGGACACAAAACGATTTTAGCACTGCACAGATCTCCCTCTTGGGAAGCACATTTTTCTTCCTTTTTTTTTTTTTTCTGTTTTTTTTTGGTCTTTTTGAGACTGGGTCTCTCTGTAGCCCCAGCTGTCCTGGAACTCACTATGTAGACCAGGCTGGCCTTGGAACTAACAGAGAGAGGCCTGCCTCTGCCTCCCAAGTGCTGGGACTACAGGCGTGCACCACTACACCTGGCTTTTTCTTCCTTTTTTAGTGCAAAAAGGTGGGTTCCTTTTTTAATGCAATCATATTGCCTGTGTAATTTCAGATACCCTGTGTTTCTCTTCTCGTGAAATGATAGCCGATTTTACAGCTCTGGAGCCTCGATGGTATCACGAAGGAAACAGGAACACATAATTAGCCCATTGGTTAAGATGATCTTTGCTTGAGGGTGAAGGGTCCAAACTTATAAAACGTGTGGTTCAGCTATTAGCCCATTGGTTAAGATGATCTTTGCTTGAGGGTGAAGGGTCCAAACTTGACCCTCAAATTGACTTCAGGTCAAATTGCAAAGAACTGTTTATATTCCTGGGGATGTTGTTGCAGCTCATGTAATTACATTAATACGCTTTTATAGATAAGCTATTTAGCAAATAAATGAGAGTACAGTAGTTTAATGATCCATTCTCTAAATCATCCTTGAGAAAGTCCACAGCTTCGGTTTTTTTTCCATTTTGCTACAAATAAGCCCCAGAGGCATGAACTTCCTGTAAGTGCTGTGGTTCCCAAGAAATAGGAGCAAAGTAGAGGAAAACTAAAGCCTCTAATAGAAGAGGGCTCGGTTACAAAGACTTACTGTGAAAAGGTATCTAGATTTTTTTCTTTTTAACTGGAAATGAAAATGGTATTTCAAAATGTATTTGTCTTTATCCCTCCCCACTACGTTAACTCAATTCTCAAGGCAATCCCAACAGCGTCACTTGTGAAGCATCACCCTTTGGGACAGAGGATTTAGTAAACACATTGTTGGCACTTGACTTGGATTGCATCAGTTCTAGGGCTAATTCTGGGCCCCAGACTAAGAACAAACTTCCAGAATAGATGTGTTGTCAATTCTGAGTTAAATATTTGACTTTTACTTGATACTGTCCATGATACTGTTATATTTTGGCTTTTGCACACTTTCTGTGTAAATGTATGGTTTAAATACACTTTAAAAGTAAACATTAAGGGGCTGGAGAAGTGGGTCAGAGATTAGAAGCACTTCCTGCTCTTCTAGACAATCTGAGATGGGTTCCTGCACCCAAGGGATCTGGAGCCCTCTTCTAACCTCCATAGCCCCTCCCCGACACACACACAAATAAAGAAAATAAAAATAAACCTTAAAAAGTATTTGCATGCATCTCCCTTTAAAAGATTTTAAATCTTAAATTTTCCAGGGTGATTAGAAATTCAAATTTTCTAAGAGGGCTGGAGAGATGGTTTGCTGCCCATTCATAAGAATGGGAGTTTGGATCCCAGTGAGGCAGTGGCCCCTGGAACAAAACGAAAGAAAGAAGAAAGGGAGATGTGATGGCTGATCCTGGGTGTCAGCTTGACTGGATCTGGGATTAACTGAAATGAGAGCGGATCTTCTTGATTGGATCATCTGAAGCTGGAAGACACGCCCTAAATGTGGGTGTTACCTTCTGATGGCAGCCGGTATAAAAGGCCACTGCAGAGGAGAATGCTGGGCTTTTTGCTGCTTGCCTTCTCTCTCGCTGGTGAGTCCATCCATCTTGCTGCTGTAGACTGAAGACTAGCTCGATCTTTTGGTATTTGTCAGACCTTCAGAGCCAGATTGGGACTACTGAGACATCCAGCCTTGTGACTGAGTGACTATGGATTCTCAGCCTCTCCAGTGTGGTGCAGGCATTGTTGGACTAAGACTCTATCCTGTGAGCTAAACTGATAAATCTCTATACATAGATATTCATTCTACCGGCTCTGCTTCTTTGAAGAACCCTGACTAATACAGGAGATGAGTCTCCATCTCCCCTTTTCAACCTTTTCTCTTTTCCTGTTAAGTTTCTCTTTCTTGATTATTATAATACCAAAAAGAGAGTTAGGAGCCCACTCTGATTGTTGAAAGACCCCCACACACAACCAACCAGAAGCTTTTTCCCATGCTCCTGGACAGAAGCAGAGGACCCAATCCCTATAACAAAAAGTGCACATGAACACCTGAGGTCCAGGAGGAGACTAGGAAGAATCATCAGGAGGACAGTTGAACTCAGAATTAAAACCCAGGCCCTCCCCCGGCTAGTGGCTTTCCAGCGCCATCACTGCCTGAGAAGTCTGTAACACTTGCCAATCATCTATTGCTTTGCACTGAGCCGTTTTCTTGCCTTTTAACTCTTTAACAGTGAAAAAGAACCCACCTCTTAGCTGTTCACAAAACAAGCCTGACATCCTGAAAACTCCTGTAACTCCAGCTCTAAGCATCCAGTCTCCAAGCATACAAAGGCTTGTACACCTACACACACACACACACACACACACATACGCATGCACGCACGCATGCATGCACACCCATGTGCATACACATGCACACGTGCTCATTTGCTCACACAGACAAATAAATAAATAAAATTACTTAAAAAGGAATTTTTGAAAAAGAACTTAAAGCTTTAAAAATGGAGATTTATGTAAGGTTATAAGTTGAACAGAAAATTGCTTACAATTTCAGCAACTCTGAGAAAACTATTATAATTTTGATGAACTTGTAAAAAATTTTTATTTTAAATTACATGTGTATATGTGAGTCTGTGTGTGGGTATGTGCAGGTGAGTACAGTGCTGGCAGGGGCCAAAGAGGGCGTTGGATCCCCTGGAACTGGAGTTATAGGCAGTTAAGAGCCACCAGATATGGGTGCTGGGAACTGAACCCCAGTCCCCACAAAAGCAGCGAAGGCTCTTAATGGCTGAGCCATCTCTTCAGACCGGTGATGCACTTTTTAAAAAGGATATTTGTAGTTAAAAATCAGAAATATGTTCTATTTTTATGTTTTATTTTGCTGTTATTTGTCTAGCATATTCAGGTCACCAAATTCAATATTGATTGATAATAATGACATTAGGATGTAGAGTTGGGGTTGAAAAGATGTACCATGAATCCATAATTGAGGAAATTTAATTAGTCTTTTTCCTGTGCTCATAAGAAATACTTCAATAAGAACAGGAAAATTCTTAATTATTTTATACTTTAAATTGTTGAACCAGGCTGTTTTGTGGCCTTTAACGAAGTCAGCTAATCAAATACCTTATGAGAACAGCAGCAGCAAAGTTTGTGTTTGTGCCGTTCTGCCCAGGATAGGACTAACAAATTTAATGTTTCTCTCAGTGAATTACTTTGCATTTACTGCATCACAGTAAGATTTTCATTTTCTCCCTTTTTCAGGAAATTACTCTCAGATTTGAGTCACCAGAAGAGTTGCACAAAAGGGTCATATATATTTGGGGTATGACAGCAGGACTATTATATCACAGGATGTAGTAAATACCAGGAGTCCAGCTTTTCAGGTCTTATGAAAATAAAGAAAAATTACTATAACATTGTGGAATTTAATAGGATTATCTAAGGCAAAACGCTTATTAATCTGCTTTCTAAGTTCACTCAGTGAATGTTTATTGGATATCCACTTCCTGCCAGGTATCACACACAAATGAGCAAAAAAGACAAACATTCCTGTCCTCATGGATCT